TTTTTTTTGGAACTGTTCTTTGATTTTTAAAGGCAAAGGAGTAAGGAAGTACAACCTGTGGAATGCTTGTGCTTTTTCTCAGTAATTGTAGCAATTTGATAGCGTGCTAATATGCTAAATCTTTGGAATTACTGGTTTTATTGAGGTTCAGAGATTCAGTTGCTTTCATTCTTGACAGACAATTATCTGATCAGGAGAAGAGTCAAATAATGAGAATTCATTCTTTAGAATAGGCTAGCAAGAGGTGAGGATCATATCTATGTTTCTTAGAACTTTTCAAGTTTTTGTTGGAAAAATCCAACAAAAAGCCCTCGTGAAATGAAGAAAGGTGGTAGGAGTAGATGTCTCTGAGGAAGAGATTGGTTGTCAAAAAACATCAAAATAAAGGATAGGCTTTGAATCTAGACTGCATGCTACATYACTTATCCCAAATGTTTGGATTGCTTTTCCTTTTGTTCATGACTGTCTTTGCAGAATAAATAWAAGCAATCTAAGTTCAAAATGAAAAGAAAATAAAATTAAAATAAACTGAAGTGAGTTTAGGAACTTCTGCATTGCTGAAATTGCACTGTGACAGATCTGCTGTTTATTTCATTTATATAAGTCTTCAATTTATTGYCAACTTCTTCTATGAATTTGACAATGTAATATTTTATGACAGTTAAAGCTTTACTTCATATAAATGGACTTTGATTTCAAGCATTCCAAGGAAATTTAATACAGGTCTGTCTCACACTGATASAGAAAGAAGACAGACATACATAACCAATAGCATTTTTGACAGTTTTCTGCCAAGTCACACTRTGCAGCTTCAGAAATGAAAAATATTTTTGTTGAACATTACCCTATGGAGCCTAAAGAGACCTCAGTGAATTTCAGCCCTGAACTTCCAATCCTGTATACAAGTAATATGTGAGTCAWGAAAAGCTCACACCATTTTGTCATGCATCACTTGTTAATGACCTTCTTTGACCTTATATAAAGCCTTAAAAAACGAAATTAGTATCCATAGTTGTTCTACTATAAAAAGGTAGTATTCAATATGAATAGCCTCATTCCAAACCTTCAAGTTCCATTAAAAAGCTAGTATGCATTTAACGAGCTCATTATAAAAGGATAGTATTTTAAGATAGACAATTTACAAATTGTTATACATCTATCTTTTTGCACTRTTATATTCAGAAGGTTGCAAGAAGGAATGCAGCATCACATGTACAAATTAGGCTACAGTAGAAAAGTTAACGGAAAAAGCTGAAAGGAAAAAAGGCACAGAGGTCCACATTGCTCACCAAGGCTCTTCACAGTGGTACTTAACGGGAGGAAGAGAGTGTAAGTGGGACAAAAGAGGATTAGACTAAATGTAAGAAAAAATGTTTTTGAAGAACTTTTTTCAACCTGAGTACAGTCAAGAAATGGAGCAAGGTGCACAGAGAGGCCGAACAGCCTTCATACTTGGAAGTTTTCAAGGTGTTACTGAATAAGCCCTGGAGCAAAGGGGTCTGATCTCATCACTGATCCTGTTTTGGGCAGGAAGTTGAACTAGAGGGCTTCCATAGCCTCTTGCAACCTGAATTAYTGCTTTATCCTATGATTATATGACAACTGGGTACCAGCTGTGAAAAGGAGAAAGCTTTAGTAAGATAATAAGAATAAGGAAAAATTATTGCCCACTAGGAAAAGAGGTAAGAAAGCCCTTATTGCAGTAGCTTTCTCTACTGGTTCCCTATTGCAACTAGAGGGAGACAGCTACATCCAAAATTAGAAACAGGGAAGATGGATGCCTACAAAGTCTTCACACCAGCCCTGGAATGAGTGATGGGGCCTGGAGTGAGGAGTCTACCAACGTAATCTAGATGATTATGGCCAAGAAAAAAMATATATTTTAAGGGTATTCTAGAACAGTTGTTTCCTTATGCTGTGTTTTGCTTTTGTGACTCTTGTAACAGAATTGTATTTCTATTTGTATCTTGACAGAAGTCACTACACACACTCCTTTATATTTAAATCTTGTACACCACAAATAGGAGTTACCTCACAGACAGAAGATACAGCCTTCTCTGGAAAGATAGACATAATTGGGGTGCACTGGAAAGAAATGTTTATGCTATCTATATTCAGGGCTCCTCTTGAGTTTTCATGTTGTTTCCACACTAGGTTGCAGGTATCTTTTTGTGCTGTTAAGACTGGTTTATAAGAGAAAAACAACACTCTTGGTATGTCTGGAACTTCCTTGATGAAAAGCCTTAAAGTGGAAAACAGCTTCACATTTCAGGAGGGAGGGATGGAAAGGAAACTTGTCACACTAACGAAACACATACTGGAGAAACTCTTCTTTTTTATTCTGTTCATTGCCCTTCAAAAATGAAAGACTGAGTTCCATTACTAAGACTTAATATTTTTTTTTTTGCCTATATATTCAAAACAGAAATAAAACTATTAACTTTTTGGAAGTTCACAGATAGATGGTATCGATAGTGACACTAGAGGAGATGGGGAAGCAACTATTAGCTTCACTTTAAGTAAAAGTGAAATAGGAAAAAAGGTATATAAAATGTCAGTATAAAGGAAATTAGTAAATATATATGAAGATGTGTATAAATATTGAAATAATTTCTGATTTCAGGAAAAAAGGTGGAGTTGAATGTGCAGCCATGGACAATGACATTTTTATCTTATACAACTTTGTTTCTCTTTTAGTGGCAAAGCATTACTATAACACTGGTTGAGAAAGTGCAGATGGTTGCTGTAATCCTAGGATCTCTGTTCTTAGTAGCAAGTGTGACTTGGCTTCTATGGTCAGCCTTCAGCCCCTATGCAGTATGGCAAAGAAAGGACATCCTTTTTCAAATCTGCTATGGAATGTATGGTTTTATGGATCTAGTATGCATAGGTAAGCTCAAAATCTTTAAACAGCACAGACTGTGGTTTAAGACTGTGACTATTTATATTTTCCTAATTGGTCACTCTTAATTGATCACTCAGGTCTTTGCAGATTCATTCTCAGCTGATACCTTTGGCAAGTGCTGCTTTTTAGATTGTTACAGATAATGCAGAGAGAAAAGAATCACAGAAGCTTTAGTCTCAGATTCATCAGTGTCTTCCCAAACTTTTAGTGGTGAGAACAGGATCAATTTAAATTTCTTTATAAAACGGATGACTAGCAAAGTTCAGGAAGTTAAACAGATGAAAATATGAAAGACATTATTAAAATAATTAGTAAAATTACACAGTATCATCTTCTGATGCCAGTTTGAATTAGATTGTACCATGATGAAGTGCAGAAGAAGCCCTTGAAGATGTCATCAAACTGTACACCCACAATTAAGTTGCACAGATTTATATAGGTCACTGTGCTAGAAATGGAGGAGAACAGAGAAATCAGACATGAGTTCTTTTCACATCATAAACAGTTATGAAACACTCACACTGTGCTAACTATAGCAACTTGCTTTACTATTAAAAAGTCCCAAGTCATTTAACTGAAATCTTATAAAAGGAAATACATTTTACTGCAACACCACATTGACCACTTCTGAAATTTCTGAAAGTACACTGGATTTGGGAATATTTACATAGAAATCCCTTTAGTATTTGGTAAAACAACCTTGATTTGATTGTTAGAATAGTTATGATTATTTGCAGAGAAAATTTACATTAAATATTACAKGATTATATAATTTAGATAATTAAATTTACATAATTAGTAATATTAATTTTGATGAAACCACATTCATGGAATTTCAGTTGCAAGAAAATCTAGAYGTCAAATGCCATCTGATGTTTGCATTGACATTTCTGAGAGATAAATGTWATCTGAATCTTACATATGGGCATTAGAAGGACAGTGCTGAATTCTGCTCAGTAAGGAACAAAGAAACAGGGTGATTCCAAATATCAAGGCTTTTGCTTCAACTGTAAAGCCACATCATCTTTTATTGAAACCATCCCATTACTGTAAAAGTATTTYTATTTCAGCYACATCAGCAGTTCTGTTCATTTTGWAATTTTTGTTAGAGAAACCTGTTCTGTAATATTTTGTAACACAGGCTTTCTTCTGTGAACCCAAATCTCAGACAGAAAAATGAGCAGAATCTCATAGCTTGGGCAAGTGCTCAGCTTTTAAATGAAAAAAAGGTTCACATGTCCTCTTAGATGCTGATTTCTGAATATTGCCTCTTCCAGCTTAACACTCAATATTGAGGGCTTTGCTTTTGTTTGAAAAAACACTAAATGAAGACAAACTGTGCTTCAGGAATTCCAGACATTTCATTTATATGGAATTCTGGCTTGTTTGGTTTTTTTTCCCCACTAAAAAAATTACCTTGGTATGCATCAGCTACTTGAAATAAACAGTTCAAATAATTTTTATTTTTCCCTTTTGTTTTACTGTTAAAACACCTAAACCAGATTAAACTCAAAATGAGTCAAAAACCTCTGTGGGTGATCAGCAATATTACTGTATTTATCCATAGAAGTAAACATTTGGAAGGTGACCTTCCATAGATTGGTACAGGCAGTTCTGTAGCTGCCTTTCAAGCCAGCCATGCTCAAGGCACCACTGAAGGGGAAGCTACTGAACTAACATGTACCTCACATGGAGCTGCTGGCTCAACTCACTCTGCAGGAGCAAAGGAAACATGCACCTGCCTTCCCCCAAAGATAAACTAACTTGGCTGTCATTTAATAAATTAATATTTTATAGTCATAAATATTATMATAAATAATACATGGAAATTTTAATGTAAAACTGACTACAATTAAACTTATTTGGATACAGTTTTGTAGTTACAAAGTTCACTGCAGATATGACTTAACAGTTTACTAGACTGTATGTGGAAATTCGAAAAGGAAGGAGGTGAGGAATTTTAATAATCCAGATTCATTCAGACCCACTTATTCTGCATATAATTTCAAGAAATTTGCATCTTGTAAGCTTGTAAGATCAGGAATTCTTGTAMCTCTTAAAAATATTCATTAATATAGTCAACCTTATCTAATTTTATCTTTTTCTTTCATGATAAAGTSTGGGGGGGTTAGATTGATAGTTTTAATTTAAAACTTCTAAATAAAATTCTCTAATAGATGCATGTAATTATTACTTACAAATTAYTTTTAAAACCCCAAACACTTTCCATTATGCTGATGACTTCCCGAAGCATTAACTTATGATTTTAACAATATTATGTGTAATCTCTTTATGATTCATAGAGCTTCTAATGCTTACAACCAGCTACAATTCTCATTTAGTATCTCCTCTCCTTTCATTTGTGTTTAGTCATCTGTGGCATTCTCTTAGTTTTCAACAGGATTTACAGTGAGTGAATACCTCTACTCCCACTGTAATCTCTCTTTATTTCAATGAAAAATCTATGCAGACATACAGATTTTCCTGTGCACCACATATTTCAAGATAATGCTTGAGCTACTGGTGGCATGACCAAGATTTATTCCATCTGCCTTCAGTTATGCCTCCCTAAACCTTTGCAGAAACTATACAAATATTTTTGGTCATTTGTCAAGTGTAAAYATCTTCACACAAAAAGTGTGAAGCAATTTTTGAAATGTTCTGCTATAATTTTTAAAAGCAGTTTGCCTAAAGGTACTGACATATTTTTATGACATCTTTGAAAATATGCACGTAACAATTTGTTTACCCAATGATGGACTTATATATCACACATAGCACATCAGTCACTTTCTTATTAAGTAAATAGCAAGTAATTTGTATTTTATTTCTTTGTTTTGTTTTACATTTCAACAAACSCAAAGTCCCAAAGATTACAGTTCACCAGTATAATATATTCTGTTCATTCCAGTGTACATGTTTTATTGGTATCCACGGTTCTTTCTTCTACACTGAATTTTTCCAGAATTCTTCCTGACAAGCAKGATTGTTTTCCCTTGTCAGTGTTGGTTTTAACCCTACAAGTCATTACCTTGTACTTTCCTGAATCAAAGCTGAATGTAAAGCTGTTCTCTTTGAAATTTGCTGTTGGTAGAAGTCTACCTAAAGCAAAGAACATCATGATCAAGTAGAACTACAGCCTGTGAAAAACAGAGCTCTTCCAGTGCTAAGATCAGACCATCCACATAGGGATTACCAAAGGGAATGAATTCATGAAAGGAATGAATAATACAAATCTCTCATCCAGCCACTGAAGGAGAGTATATCAAACCTTTGCTATTCTACTTTCTAGACCTAGCAATTATTTTGCTTAACAGAAAAGATGTAGAATTTTATATATTTTTACTGGAAAATAGCTAACTATTTTCTGACCTAACTGACAGGTCATAACCTGTATATAACTGACCTAACTACAGGTCATAAATGGYTCTCACATGAAGAAAGCCTCTCACGAATAATAAACTCAGTCAAATAGCAGCTGACTTGCAATCCCAGAGCAGCAGTGCTGCTCCTTTTCCTACAGTAAAAAGCAGTTGCAACATGGAACTGGAAACATGACTGATGCCAGTAGCACTGTGGCAAGGGAGTAAGAGATGGGAGCAAGTGCAACGTGTGAATTGCCCTCTGAAAGCCTCTTTCTTCCCCACTAAGGAACTGGATGCTTTGCAACATTCCTGTAACTCCTTGGTTGTAAAAATGCACAGGCTGGTTTCTTACATTGAACATGTCCAGCTGCACTTTATATGTCTTTACTCATTAAGGTTTTCTTTTTTTTTCTCCCACACTAGATCTAACTCTAAATAGTTTATGCAGAGTTATATTCTATTTTTAGCATGGACATGTTTCACTTTAATGCTGTGAGCAATTGATTGCAATTTTTTTTTTAGTCTGTGGGCCCTAGAACAGTTTTAAGTCATGAAATTTTGTTGTAAGATAAAGTCTATTTCTGAAAATGATCTTTTATTCCTCAATAAAATCTCATGATGTTTCTGGGCAGATAATTCCTAAATGGTTATATATAAGATTAGTATGATAAATAAGATAAAGTTGTAACTTAATACCACCAAATCAGAATGATGAAGAAAAGTTGCCTGCTTGTAAAGACATTCAGTGGTAAAAAAATTAAAGTATCTTGTGAGTCAGGGTAAGAAAACCTTTTAATACAGTGAAAGAATCTCATAGTASTTGACAAAAATATAAGAAAATAAAATAAAATTAAGATTCTTCATAATCCTATTGGCTGGATCCCACTGCAATCCCTACATCTTAGAGATGCAACCTAAAATCTTCTTAGAACAACAGAACATTTGGATGGGTCCATAATCCTAAAATGCTGTTCCTTGTAGATCTTAATGGCACAGAACATCTGAACAGCTAACAGCAGTGAATTCTAGTACTTCTTGGGATCATCTGAGTCAAACAAATATTTTTTTCCCCTACAGGTGTTCAACTATGGCCTCTGTGCTGTTGAAATCATAGTGTTTGGAACAAATKAGTGTTCTTCATGGATTTATTCTTGCTTTTTCTCTCATATCTACATTCATTGCTTAAGGAACCCTTAAGAGAAAAGAGATTCTTTGCCAATTTCTTACAGCTCCACTTCAGTGACGACTTATATTTTGAGAATTTTTTAACTGCTCTGGACTTGTAAAATCTCCAGCATTTAAACCTTACCCAGATTTCCTCTTGTTTGTGGTCTTGGATCTCTTGGATCTTCTATCCCCCCATGTTTTTTTGCCTCTTCTATGTAGGTATTTTTCAATCTGTAGCTCTATCAAGAAGAGAGTTATAACTTTTTTATGAGAGAAATTATGAAAGTGCTCCATTTCTCCTTCAGCACCGCWAAATCTGACAACTTTATTCCAAGGCTTGCGACATTTGATTCATTGTTTTGTAGTTCTTTTTAAGTATATATGACTGACAGCTTCGACTGTAAATAAAATTTCTCATCCATGCCAATGTTTAAAAACTTTGAAAACAYAATTTCAATAAATCCCAAAATCTCCAAGACAGTAAAAAAGAGCTCCCTGAAAGAAGTCTTCCTACGACTTTTTCTGTTGTAATTTTGGGATGATATTTTGACAGTTTTTAAATGTGCTTCATGTACTGCAATGATTCTTTCTCAAATACTTGATTCTCTATTCTGAAATAGGGTTATTCAGGTTCCAGTGGAGTGCAGCCGTATCTTTGCATTGGAACAAATAGGTTCTTTTAACTTTGCTTCATCACAGACTTGAGAGAAGTTGGACAAAATATACTAACATGTTAAGGAAGGTTATTCTCATCTCCTTTATCATTTTATAGGAAATCCAACAGAACACAAAAGGGTGGATCTTTGTCACAGCAGTAAAGTCATGGCTGATTTGGTTTGTAGATTTTCTACACAAACACATTTATTCTTTTTAACACAATTGAGCCAATTTTGAAGGTACATTTATGTATTGACTAAATTATTATTATTATGCTAAATTTTAAAGAGAGGTTGCTTTTTCTATATTTGAGAAGATGAAGATAGAAATCTTTCAACCAAGAAAAATTTCTACTAAAATGCTTTGCTGTTACAAAATACATTTAGAATATTTGTTATTCAATTAAGCTAATTTTATGTTCCTTTTGCTGTACTGGATACTTCAATGAATTCTAGGCAACTTGAAAGCCTTACAAAGATGCTGCATTCATTATCATGCCCTTCTGAAAGAAATCTTTGTGTTTCTCCACCTTTCAGTGTAATGATCTTTAAAAATGTGTTAGAGTAGGTGTTGCTATCTGCAAATCATTGCACTTGAATCTGAGGGTTGCTGTTCATGTAAATATTTTTATCATCCTTTCTGCTTGTGTATTCTTTCTGTGAGCATCTCCTTTCTGGTATCAGTTAGTCATGCTAAAAAACCTCAGTCACTTAAATTACAATTTTGTTGTGTAGAAACAGGTGACATAAAATCTCTTGGGTTAAAGGACACCACAGATCATATTATAGATGTGGCCATGTACAGGAAAATTTTAGGCAACAAGCACACTGGACAAAAAACTTGTAAATGTTTTTGGCTAAGCAGATTGCTCTGCTTCCAAAGCAGGGAGCCAGAGAAAACAGGTGGTGTGGCTCAGAACCGTGGAAGCATCCTCAACCAGGTTGGCTGAGGAAAAAGCTAGTAAGAAGGCATGTGTCTCCCCAGTAAATCCACAATTGAAATACTCACATGTAAAGAGTGTGAATATAAACATATACCTACATACAAAAAGTCAGGAGATTCATTTCTTTAATTAAGTTGTTTGAACATGTACAATAGGCATAGATATCTGCTACATGGAAATTCATAAGCAGATTGGCCTGATTGAGGCCTCCAGAAAATCTGTATTTTCCTTGGAGGGCCTTTTAAAAGATTTCCTGGGTCTCAACAAAAAGATGATTTGCAACTTTTTCCTATTGAATACTGAAAAGAAAGAAGAAAGTCTATCACCCTTACCATACTCATTGTAGTTAATAACATTTAATTTCTTGTTCATTGAAGCAAGACAAGAAAATCATTATACWTACAGCTGTTTCAGGTTTTCACAAATCTTCTGTGTTCCTAAGTCAACAAGGAATCTGAAAGCAGATAGATTTGTCTGTATCTGTACTGAATTCTACAAAACACTCTTAAACAACTTTAGGATTATTCTGTTCATTACAGAAGGTCTAGCCTATGTAAAGGTCTACTTTAACCAGTACAAATCTCAGTAAATTAATAGTAGTTAACATTAACAAGGACAGGACTAACATAAACAGTCAGTATCCAAATCTGCCAGTTTTGCATTGGTTTACTTAAATGCAAATAATTTATTTAATTAGGCATGCTCAAATTATTCCAGTATTGGTTATGTTGAGCTTTCATTCAGGACCACTTTATTTCCTCTGCATGTTCCTGCCTCCCAAAACATGAATAACCAGTTACATTGCATATATACAGTTCTTTTGAATTATTAATGTTATGAGTAATTTAATTGCATCTGGAAATTGCCAGAGTCATTACAATGTGTTAAATCTCTATTTGCTCTCAAAATGGCATTTGTTGACATTTTGTATAAATGCTTTATTTTTTTCCCCTTAATTTCAGGACTGATAGTACATGAAGGTGCATCTGTTTATCGAGTGTTTAAGCGCTGGAGGGCTGTGAATCTACACTGGGATGTGTTGAATTATGATAAAGCCATGGACATAGAAGAGAGCAATCGAGGAGAATCCTCAGCAGGAAGGACATTGTGGCTGCCACTGACTGCGTTTAGAAACAGAAGTTTAGTGCACCCAACACAGTTAACCTCACCGAGATTTCAGTGTGGCTATGTGTTGTTACAGCTGTTCAACCGCATGAGACCTCAGGAAGATTCATCAGAGGATAACTGCTCTGGGGAAGTAGTGATGAGAGTGACCTCAGTGTAAAGATTGTGYTCACTGTGCTACACAGATAAGGATAATGTGCCCTGGTGTTACAGGGCTCTGGAATGTAGTTATGATGAATGGTGAAACCATTAACACTTGAAAAAATATGTACACTTTCTTTTTTTAAATTTAATGTTTTTTATATGATCAGATAAAACACAAATACATTTTTCTGGGGGAAAAAAAGTCTCTTGCTTTTTATATAGTCTGATTTATTGAACCTTTTCTCAATTTGTACCTGAGGTGTATATAACATAGCTTAACTCTTAGGTCTTTAAATGATGAGGAAATTCATTTTTAAGTAAAAAGATGTATTTAAATGTATTTTCTTAAACTCTGGCTTTAACCCACTACTGCTATTTTTTTTCCACTTTCATGAGGATTAAACTGGACAACATTCTTCTRAAAAGAATAAGAATGTTGACACAAGTCAAATATTCTTCCTTTTCTGTCTTTATTTTGCTGTTGTTTGTAGGTCAGTTCAGGTGTGTGAGAGTAAGGGGTATATTGTCCTTTGCCTTTAAGCAGGAAGTCCAGTGGGTGTCCTACAAAACCTAAAGGAAGATGGGAATTCTTTTCTTTTAGCTCTCYCAATGTCTGTGCAAGATATCAGACACAAGTATGACACAGACAGGGGAAGAGTCTTGCACTGCCTCTCGAGTCTCTAAGATCTGCAGAGTGCTGGTACTGCGCTTGTGCACAGAAGTGATGTTACATTCTGAGCAGTGCTGCTGGAATTATT